TCAAACTGTACTAGGGTTCACCTTTACCAGTTGTATCCCCAATACAATCAGATTTTCAAAACAGCACAAAAATGGTTAAATTAATGTTTTGTTTAGTTCGACAGTAGAGTTGTTTAGATTCGGTTGTCTACGAGTAATTAAAGTCAAACAAAATTGGCCGGTCGCCACTGGGTGGGCATCTTACCCACATTCTGACCACCTTAGCAGTAACTGTCATGGCCTGTGAAACACTTATGCACGGGTTTAGCTGCTAAGAAATGTGTAGCTGCTAACGCGGCTTTTTACTCGAGGCGGTTGCCAGCCCCATACCAAAGAATGATCACTTTGGTAGCTGAAGCTGTGCTTTTGAAGAGTTTTTTAGACAGCGACTCTCTCTACGAGTACAAATACAACGGGGGAGTGCGTTTTGTGTAATGGGTACAATTCCCGATCAGGATAGCATTGAGGAAGTTTTTCTGTTATAAATGTTTTCTAACTTTGTGCTTATGACATGATACTTATTAAAGGTGCAGTCATTCAGTTCTGAAATGTAGTCGGTTATGTAATAATCTCCAAGCTAGTGATAGAGTTGGCCGGATAAGTGCACTGACCGGTCTGATTGTGTGCAGGGTGTGCCCATCATGGCGCGACATGCTGGACAATCCCCACACCACGGAGCACATTCGCGTATACTTTGACGGCATGATTCAAGAGACCACATCCGGCAACGACAACTGCTTCCAGCTGGCTGCGCTGCTAACGCGCACCATCAACGCCGCGACCAAAAGCCTGACAATCATAACGAAATCTCTCGGCAGTAACGCGTCTTTTTTGGTGTTTTTGCTGCTGGCTAAGAAAATAGCCGGGGAAGTTTTCATGCCCATAATCGTATTGAAGGACTATATGCTGGACACATATGACCGCAATTCGCTTAAGGAAATATTCGTTAAGGGAATAACAACCAGTGTCTGGGAACATCCTTTGACGACAGATCCATGAAGGCTGGAACGCCGTTGTGAGCGGATCGTACTGCATAACTGGAAAGTCAGCCGTCTGTTTGGCCGACCAGTGTACGAAGTTTTTCTTAAGGAGGAAGATGTAAATTGGCTGTTCCCACAAAGATCGCTGCCAGCTCGGGAAAAGGAATTATTGCGGCCTCTGGGCTGGGACCATGTGCTGGCTATCGATCAGTTACAGATCACCATCGATCGGCTACAGATCAGGCTACCGCCAGTCATTTTGGAAGAGGAAAAGGAGGATCGCGGAGTTAACATAGTCAGCCGCATCATGTGGGCCGTCAACGCAAACTTTCCGCCGGTTACGGAGGAAATGCTGGCAAAGGTCAAGGCTGTCTACGCTCGTTGGGTGCGGGACCTGGTTTACCCGACAGACTGGTTACCCATTCGCCGATACCTTTCACTGTAAGTCGTTTCCCTACCAAGAAGTCTTTGCACTGTAAGTCTTTTCCCTATCAACAACCCTACCAAGAACTTACTATAGCTGTGAGGACCGGGAACGCACTGCGCAACGGTAGATTACGGCATCACTGTCGCATACAGAAAGCACGGATGCGCAAATGCTTACCATAGTCCCACAGACCTTGTTGTCCCTTTTTAAAGAAACTCTGACATTTCTTTCTCACGAAAAGCTTTCTGTGATTTTGATAGTTCATATTGATCATAGAAATCCCAATTTGGGGAATTTTAATAGAAGTGAATCTGTTGAGAAAACTGATAAAAACCGTGGAAAACGCGCAACTGTCACCATGGCAGCCGCCGTCACCTTTATGCGAGAGTGCTGAAGTCAAACGGTTGGTTACCAGTTCTTCTGTAGTAAGTACTATTTATAAAAACAGCAAAGCCATTTACGGTCGATAGTTTATTGGCTAGCTAAATGGTTTATTGCGGTACGGTTTATTGCGGTACGCGGAACTTCGAAAACTGCAGTGATACCGTCTATGTACCGTAATTATCAAATTGTCAGCCCTGAGACGTAAATACAGGTGTAACCGTCCAAAACGTCCGGACGTCTGAGACGTCCGGCGGACGTTTTGGCGCCTAAACCGTCCAAAACGTCCGGGGGCCGCCAAAACGTCCGCCGTAAATTTTGCCCACCCGATTTTTTTTTGTGTTTGCGTCGGATCGCAGCCGGACGTTTCTGCCTGACCGGTTATTCGTAGCCGGCTACGAATTGACAGTCAGGCAGAAACGTCCGGCTACGAATAACCGGTCAGGCAGAAACGTCCGGCTGCGATCCGACGCAAACACAAAAAAAATCGGGTGGGCAAAATTTACGGCGGACGTTTTGGCGGCCCCCGGACGTTTTGGACGGTTACATACGGGTACTTGGCATGTCTCTTTGAAAGGACTCTAGTTACGGGCATGGGGTGCGCATTACAGATTCAATGGCTTCCACTCTGACGGCACACCTCGATCATGGCGTGGCGTGGATTTGCGATTGGTGGATACTGCCGAACTGAGCACCATGGCACTGTACGGGATTAACGAAGTATTCCTGGTTGACCCCTAGCCACGCTATGCATACCGTGTTGCACAATCTTGGCGCTGACACCACACCGTGGTCGGAGGGTTTGCGCGGTTTCTGCAGCGGGCATTCTTAGTTTGTTTTCTGAATCGTATAAAAAACTGCTGATGTTGCGATTTTGTTGTTTGTATTTAGCACTGTTGTACTATGCATCGTCATCCCCACCCACTGTTAACTGCAAAGCGAAACATGATTCTGAATTTTTTTACTTCGACATTCTTCGCGCCGGGGTCTTTACTTCGACAGTTTCCACCTGAATGACGCTAGGGACTTTAATGTTTTTTTTTTAATGTTCGAAGCGTTTAGTTGTGTAGTATCGCCGCGATTGCACCTGTCTGTTATTCTGGCGGCTGTTGCCTAATAAAAATTATTGATTCTTGGATAAGGCAGGGTATATCCGGAAATTTTGGGATGTGTCCATAATATATATCTATCAGGATATTCTTTATATCTAACTCTTTGGTCTTCTTCTTCACACCTGTGGTTTTACGCAGAGAAGACGCCATTTCGCGTTCCACTGACCATTGTACGAGTCAACTGAAGCAGGATGCAAGGCTGCCTCTTCGGCTTGGGCCAAACTGAAGAAGCAGTCCAGCAACTTGCACGGAATGCAGATGTACAGTGTGCCGTCTGTCTGTTTTCCTTTCAAATCTAAACTTGATTGTTACTATGAGATGTTTGCACTTCACACTCAACATTAAGCAAACAAGGAGAATGTACAGTGTCCGAAGTTTTCTGTAATTACCAAGCTTACATTTCCCATTTCTCTCCGAACGTGGGATGAATTTAGCGCTTCTCCAGCTGTGCAGAAAATTTCAGTTCCCAAAAGCGGTTTAGCCAGTCGTCTCTAACTCAGGTAATCTTGGACTTTTACTAAATTAGGATGATTGTCGATTGCTGTTGAGCATGGTACACGACGGCCTGACCTTACGTTCTAGCGTAGAATGAATTCCGTGGCGATTTCGATGCCTCCATTCCGGCGGCTGCTGACTGGCGTCAACCAGATGAGCTACGTTGCCGTCAGTGTCAAGGACGAAATGTGGCTGGGATTCCTCCTGGATATCAACGGTGACCGCGTGTTCGTCGATTTCGACTCGGAGAATTTCACTCCGCGACGAAGACGACGGTCCGTTCCGGTTCCAGCCGGTTTCTTATGTGTACGCTCTGGCAGCATGCAAGCGGTGTTATATGTATTTCGTCAAGATCAATGCCCAAGGCACCACGACTAACACGGCTGAGGATCCGGCTCGCTCTCGCATCGAACTGATGGATCATCCGCAAATCCTAGGTCTGGAGTGGTTTACTGAGCCGCCGTTGCTGCATCGCAACAGCGGACTGTTATGTACGAAATACTTTATTCCGTGTACAATGGCCAGCCAGGTTCTCGGAGAACCAGCCGACCGATCGCGAATTATTAAGCACTTTCGCGAAGCTTTTGAGAGTGATCCGGTGCTGGCTGTCCTGCGGCCGGATCTCTGTAGGTTTCATCTGCGCATCGAAATGAATGGCTGTACGTTCGTGGTCATTAGCTCTGAAACAAACGCAGATACAAGAGAGATGATGGTTGCAAAGCTGACGACAGTAGTGGAGAAGCATCTAACGACGCGCACCGGTTTGATGCCGGTATGTTTTGGGAATGGCGCTAGCCCCGCTACCATCGACTCTGAAATCTACACAGCAGGTGGGCAATAACAAGCAAAATTGCAATTAGGTGGGCAATTTTGTTTACCAATATCAACAAAACCCAACTTCAGTAAATAAATTTAAAGGAAATTTGAAAAGGTAAAGTTTGAGCGTTGTGCTAATATTATTCATATTAATTTAGACAACCGAATGGAGTCAGAATCCTTGTTTGGTTATCTCCCTCACTGGATCTTCAGTGAAATTTTTTCTTACTTGGACCTGCATTCTCATGCAAAACTCAATCGGTACGTTCTCTCATTACGAGCCCGAAATTACATGTTTCGCATATTTTGGTAGCCTTATCTAAGCAAAACGTTAGGAAAATATCGATTTTATTCGTGAAACGGAACTGCTATCATCAGTTAATCGGCAATCTACAGTAACTGCGGAGCGCATTAAGGCATTGCCATAAGCGTGGTGTAACGGTCATCAATGATCACTCAAGCGACAACTTCGCGCTAATATGGTTCTACCTGTACCTTTACATGCTCAGTTTTTTTTTAAGATTCCTTCTTTATTTACAATAATAACAAAATCCCAGCAGAGCTGCCAAGAAAAACTACATGCTCGGTTTGTCGACAAGCCTGTATGTTTACTGACCGTTGCTTCGTACAGGGTGTGCGCTTTATGGCACATGTTGCTAAGCAGCCCCCACACAACCAAACACATCCGCGTATGTTTGGACAGCCTGACAAGTGGGACCACGTCGGACAACTACAACTGCTTCCGAGTGGTATCTCTGCTCACGCGCACCATCAACGTCTACACCCAAAGCCTGACAGTAATAACGAGCTCTCTCGGCGATGGCTATTTTTTTCTGGTTAACTTCTTGCTGGCCTTGGAATTAGTAGTAGAAGTCTGTGTACCACTGATAACGTTGAAGGACAATATTTTCAACGGCTGTAAAACGAAACGAGGGCTGACCAATGGAAGCTATGGAACGCTTTACTTGGAACATTCTTTGACGAGAGATGCAGTGCTGCTGGAGAACAGGCGCTGTGAGTGGATCGTTCTGCATAACTGGACAGTCAGCCATATCTTTGGTAAGCCCATGTACGAGATCTTTCTCGAGAAAAGATTTCACCTCCTGCGGCCTCTGCCACCTCCGGAGAAGAATTTCATGATGCCTCTCGGGTGGGACCACGTGCTGGCCATTGATCACATCGAGGTCACGGTGCCGCGAGTTGTTCTGTACTGGGAGGATGACCGTGCTACCATGGTCAGCCGCATGATGTGCGCCGTCAACGAACACTTTCCGCCGGTAACGCAGGAAATGCTGGCCAAAGTCGGGACCATTTACGCTCGCTGGGTGCGGGACCTGGTCTATCCGACGGAATGGGAAACCATTCGCACTTATCTTGCATTGTAAGTTCCTTTCACCAAGCATCGGACGGTAAGGCAATGCTGTGAATAAAGTTTTCCTACTTGGCTAAGTAATTACCTACTTGCTTTAATTAAAATCTGAGTACACACTGCTTCGCGCTTCGTTTGCCGGACATCACTGGCTCTCAGTCTCCTTGTGTTTTGTCTTTTTTTCGGTAATTGTTGATTCATGTTGGCATGCGTGAACGTGCAGTAGTACCGTGTGTATATACCTACGTGATTAATCGTTGCCGGCGATGTGCAGACATATTCAAAAATCAGTAGCGGTTCAAGTAAAATATTGTACTGAAATAGAAAATGAAATTAGGAATTGAGTTGAATACTGTGTACTAGTATTACCTTGCATAATACTGGCATGCGCATTATCAGGTTCAGTGGCTTTTACGCAGACGGCACACCGCGATCATGGAGGGACGTTGATCTGCGACTGCTGGATCCTGGCGAACTGAGCAAATTGGCGCTATACGGAATCCACGAGGTGTTCCAGGTTGACTACTTGGTCAGCATGCGGTGCCGCAGGAAGCATTGGCGTGACACTGCACCGCATCCGGCTTGATGGTTCTCCTGTTCGCCAGCTGCCCAAAAGACGTTTCTGCAGCTAGCTAAGAATTTAAATGTGGCATAATCGGTTGGCTATGGCAGTGTTATGGGCCAAGACGTCTTTGGAAACTGTGGATCTACTTCAGTAATGACCTCACTTTTACAATTTTATTAGCAATTTCTTTTGCCGTCTTTGTTTAGCGATGAAACAAGCAAGTTCGCGTTATTAAACGCTCTTCCATCCTCAGAAATTAGATATAATGTACGTTCGCCTTTCGCCCAAAAAAAAACTGGGAGGAAAACTGCTTTCTCAGTGTCGTTCCACATTAGAATACTTGCCATTTTTTGTTAATCTCATGTAAAATCTTGAATAAAAGCATTGATAATCACTTAATCAATTTGTAAGCATTTTTTGCCATCTGGAACCGTCTTCACCTAATCAGTGTTTTCACTCATGACACAGGAATGGTGAAACGAGTGCATTGATATAAACAGGAAACCTCTGACAGAAGCATTTCTTGACCTTTAGTCCTTCCCAGAGCAGTAACTTACTAAATCGCTTGCAATTTAAAATATAACAATTTGCGCCATATATACTAAAACGATGCTCTTAAAGCATCTCAACTGGAGTTGCTTATACAGCGCTTCCAGGGGAGCAATCGACTGTTCAGGTTGGAGAAGGATGTAAGGTCACGAAACAGCTGTGATTACGATTACCAGAATCGAGAAACACCAATTCACTGTGCGGCCAGATCCCAGGCCTAACTTTATTATTACGTCCCGTACGAACGGACGAAAGTCCAAAACTAAAATCAGGTTTAGAAACAGAATGGGCAGCTTCCGATAAATGTGTCTAGTCATGCTACGCTCATGGTGAGCTGGTCAGAACAGGTAGTCACACATGGTGAACCGCTTAGACAACATTCATACACTTTAATACAGAGTAAATTATTTTTTTGTCTGCCAAAACTTTCCAGCGTCTAAATGTAGATAAATTTAACGGAGGAACACAGTGTTGAAAACAAAGAACAGCAATACGTGCGCTGTAAAAAACCCATGTAGGACTCTTCAATCCAAGTCACGCGATTTAAAATACATGTAATGTAGAACGAGGTTTCTTCATTAAGCAACAAAGGTAAAGATTGTTTTTATACCAATAAAATCTCAGTTAATCCTTCCGGGCCCTCCATTGTCTCAGAAACGGTTTCCGCACTTCCCTTTTGAATTCCAGAGGAAAAGCGTTTGCTACATCTCGGGCTGGGCCACGTACTGGTCGTTGACCAGATGGAGATCACCGTGTCGATCATGGATATCCGCATCACCGATGCGCGCTTAATGAATAGCTGCTGATCGACTCTTTTTGATTCGTTTTCACCTCCCTGTAATCACTAAGCCAAAACTGAAAGTAGTGGAATTTGAAATTTGCAAACGCGAAAAGCGGTTCTTTTCTTGCTGAGTCGGGCTTTTAATATTGGGCCGGCTTCCGCTCTTTTTTGAGGGCCGCGCGGATCTCACCCGGGCCGTGACCCGCAATGGACGTTATACAAGGAAAAAGACGTAGAAAAACAAAAATTTCATTGAGGTTAATTGAAATTCAGTATTTTTTGACGAGGTTCTCGTAATTCTTGCAGCAGTAAACATTTTCTAGACGAATAATCCACCTTTTTTTGTCTATTGACATAGTCTCTTTGGCCGCTCGCATAACGACATCGGAGAACGAAATAATACTGTGCCACAAGATGGCCCGGGCCGTGTAAACGAAGCTCTGGCCCTCTTGCTCGGACCGCGCTGCGCCTGGCCAGGCCAACCTAGCACTACTTTTACATCGCACGCTGTCATTTGGCTTTTTTATGGAAATTCTGTCTTGTTTATTCTTCGAAATTCATGAGCGAAGTTTTCAGTAAAAAAACCATTCATTTCCGACATTTTTGTTTATCCGAAAGTTTAAACACCAGGTGACCGAAATATGAAACGAAACGAAGTACCGTTATAACTGTAAAGGTAAGCTGATTAAGATACTTATGGTACGCTCAGCGCCAGCAGTGTGATTGTGGTGGCCCACGACAACTGTTCACTGCTCGTACGCAGCTCAAACGGCATACGACGTGCTCGACTTCCAAAGACTACCATGCAGAAATTCTGGAAGCATATTAATTTTACTACTTAGAATGTATTTTCCTCGATTGGATCTAAAAATAATAATTATAACACCAAGTCACCAAGTTATGTATTAAAAATTAATATAACTTGGTGACTTGTCGGTGTTGTCCTCACGGAAATAAATAATAAAATGAAGTCAGCGGACTCATAATCAAATGATTTCCTGGGCCATTATGGATTCGTCCGGGATTACGATGCCGCGGTATCGACCGCTGGTGGCGGCTGTCAACCAAATTAGCTACCAGAATACGGTCATCGTCCGTAATCCCGATGACTCGTGGTGGCTGGGATATATCCAGGATATGGACGGCGACCGCGCCTTCATCCACTTTGACTCCGCAAAAGCCAACGCGCGATGGATCCACGTGGGCAGCGTCTGGCCGCTGCTCTTCTTGAAGGAGGGGCCCGGATATGTCGGTTGCGACAATGTCCCAGCGTACGTGGCACTGCGCGATGAAGACGACGGCCCGTCGTCTTCATCGCGCAGTTGTGCTTCCGCGCCACCGTCGTCTTGGGTTTCCTTACTAGCTGCAAAAACTGTCACATGTTCTGCATCCAATCCGCTGCGGCCAACAGCAGCGCCCACGCAGCCACCGCTTCCGTAGAAGTGGTGGAAATTGGTCAAGTGGCCGCTTACTTGCCGCTCTTGCCGTCCCTGATGGGGCGCCGCAACGGAATTATCTATTCGAAATACGTTATTCCCTCACCCCGTGCATCCAGTGTCCTGTGCGATGCCTCGAACAAATTCCGCATCATCAAACACTTCCACGATGCTTTCGATCGCAACGAGCGGTTGTGCCACCTAACCGACCGTTGTCGCTTTCATCTGCGCATCGAGCGGGATGGCTGCATGTTCATAACCATCAACGTCGCCCAACAGCGGTGGGACACGCCGGGGGATCACGGCGCCGGTCTTGTCGCAAGTGCTGGACACGCATCTGGCCACCCGGGGATACTTTACCGGCCATCGGCTGCGGACGATTGCGTGAAAGCGAGAGTCCCTCTTGCGCAGCCGGTTAGTTTAATCCATAGTTTTATTCATTAGTGTCTATTAGCGCGGGCTTGTAGTTATGTTATCTTTCGCGGGGGAGGGGGCAGATAAACCTTCGCTTAGCGCCGGTCCACCCTCTCCATTATGGCCGCTCGCAGCCGTGACGCGATGATGTGATTATAATCGCAGAGCGTGTGGAATAACAATTACAATGCAGGACTGCAAAAGTGACTTTAACGTTGGCCGATATAGCCGTTTGCGCTGGTTCGATCCGATGTAAGAGTCGCTTCTGCTGTCTCACAAAAATCCACCCACGTTTTGCCATGTGACGCAGAATTCCTGCGAGAATTCTTTATTAAGCTAATGATTCGCAGTTTAGCTTTCACGCTGTCATCGTTGCGCAGGTTGGGAAAACGACGCAGTGCAGCCGGCCGCCCACATCGGTCAGCTGACGCCGTGGCTCATCAGCAACATCCTGGCACATCTGGATCTGCAATCACAAATGAGTGCCAAACGGTAAGCGTTATTGGAGGTCTTGCTCAGATCTGCGGAACTAACAGAATGGTTTATCCCGAGTTGATCTAAGTCGGTGCAATGAGGTCACCAGTAGTCAGCTCCGGGGAAGAACTCTTGTGCGCCATTTGGTCGGACGATACCACCAGGCAGAGCGGAAGTTGGGAAGAAAAGCGCGGCAGTTGTTCTTATGTTGGCTAATCTGCTGCTTAATACCGTCGCTCTTCCACAGGGTGTGCGCTCTGTGGCAGTTGCTGTTGAGTAGTCCGCAGATGACAGAACACATCAGCATCAGCATGGAAAGCTGCTATTGGCTGCAGACGCACAGCAACAACTGCTTCAAACTGGCGGCGCTGCTCTGCCGCTCGATCCATTCCACCACCATCAGCCTCACCTTCCTCAACGTCTTCCCGCCGATGTTCTGGCTGTTTATGAGGCCGTTGCTGAAAATCCTGGGAATCCGACTGCCGTTGATTGTCTTCAAAGTATGCCAGATAGTCTCCGAGCGCGGGAACCAAACGGGCCTGAACGGACAGAGGGAGCAGCGGCTGAAGCACCCGGCAATAAATATCCCAACGGCGTGTAAGGACAACTGCGAAGTCGTGGCGCTGTTCAACTGGAGAGTGTGCGAACTGTTCGGCTCGGCCATGCACGAACTGTTTCGGTTCTTAAGAACGGAAAGTTTCGGTGTCGTTCGCTGCTTGCTAGAACACGAGTTGGCGTTTATGAAGCACCTCTCGAGGGGGTCGCACGAACTGGCCATCGACAGAATGCCGATCCGCATTCCGCGGCTCCTCCTGCGATGCAGCGACGGCCGCATGCACATGACCAGTCGCTTCATGTGCGCCGTCAACGACTGCTTCCCGCCGGTCACCGCGGAGATGCTGGCAAAGGTCACGGCGGTACATGCGCGCTGGGTGCGGACTCTGGCCTATCCGGAGGACTGGCAGACCGTTCGCAACTACCTTCTGGTGTACGTAGTTTATGGCCAGTGTAATAAAACATCAGTCTAAATTGCGCGCTGCTCAGTTTCTTCGTAAGATCAAGTTCCCCCATGCTTTGTAGGTTTAACGGCTTCCATGCCGACGGCAGCCCGCGATCATGGGAGGATGTGGATTTACGGCTCGTGGACATCTCCACACTTAGCAAACTGGCCATCTATGGTATCAATGAAGTATTCGCTGTGTGACGTGACACAAAAGGATCATCGCGCTCTCCCTTTGGATTCTGGGTTAAATCTCTTGTTCAGAAAATGCCTCAAGCTTGTGAAAACACACTAACTTTGTATATCATATTTGTAACGACGCAGTTACGCCCATATGCGGTATTTTAAGGCTGCCCTGCTGCATCATGTACTTTGTACCAATACTATGATCTCTGATAAGCTTCGGTTGTGTCTTCTGCTTTTTCTTCTGGTTTTCTTCTTCTTTGGCTTTTCGGCCTTATTCATGTAAATCAGCCTATTTCTTTCAATAGACATTTGCGGAAAAAAATTTTCAACGTCAAAATGATCAGAACAGAACTTTTAAAATACCGTACGACGCTTCAGAACAATTTTGCTACAGTTTAAATTTGCAGACTACGGTCACGACATTTGACGAAT